TGGGCCTATCCAACCATATAGTTGTGTCTCGTTTTAGAAGATGGCATTGCAGATGGGCTCTCAAAGGTAGGCCTCTATATACTATGTAGGCAAATAGATTTTTAATAAGAGCCATCTCTGTGGAAACACAAGAAAAACAAAAGTCAATGTCCAGAAGAACTACAAGTTAGTTCTTCTACAATGTATAGGTCAGTCAGCTGAGAAGACCCACTGCAATTTGACAGATTTTCCTGGATTATGGTTGAACAATGTTTGTTCAACCATAAGCTAGTATAGCTATTTTTCTTCCAAGCCACATTGACTAGCTTCAGGGTTATAGGGCCTTGGGGAAAAGGCAGTTCTTATCCCAGGGAATTGAAGTCAGAAAAATGGGAGGAAATTTTGGAAGCATCAGTTTGGAGACTTATAGCCAGGGAAGAATTCAGGATACAGTATCCAATCCAAACTGTAGGCACATAATGAAAACTAAAAAAAAAAAAAAAAAGGTCAGGACTAGAATCTAATAAACAGGTATGCCATAGTTTTCTTTTGAAATGTAATTTATTTTTCTCTGGTTCTCCATTTTTACCAAATATAGATCATAATAGGGCCAATTTACTTATAAGTTTTAGTCTTATTATACTAGGCCTGATTATTTGCATAACATACAACAAGAGTAGTGATTGGCCAGATCATACTCTTTTTAAGTTGGCTTTGGTGGAATTTTTGATAAGGATTCTCAGATTAAACTTTTAAAATCCTCTTGAAGCTAACAAGATAAGTCAAGGATTCATCATGAGACTGTCCCTATAATACCTGTACAAAATGAGTGAATTTCTCTTGTTGTGAGGTCCTCAAAATGTCTCAAGGCTCTTGAACCTGTCAGAAAGTAATATTCTTTACTTACCACAAGGTCAGGAACCCTGTAAGGGAACTGTGTAGAGAAGGTACTGGGCCTGTCTTTTTTGAGGCCTATTGGCTTTAGAAAGTCTACCTCAATCTCTCAAAGAAGTCTGGTCACTTTTGAAAATATGACCTTCCAGTCAAAACCTTGGTAAAATGACTAGTGTTTCCCATGTGTCCTGTTACAAAAGCAAACAGACTCTATTGAACTTAAGTAAATACTTATATTGACACAATATAAGAACACTCACAAATATAATAATAATAGTTATATAAATATTGTATAAAAGTCTGCTTAAAAGAGAAAGACCAGGAATGGTAATTCACACCTATAATCTGAGACTGAGTTGGGAGGATCACTTGAGGCCAGGAGTTTCAGACCAGTCTGGGCAACATTGTGAGACCTTGTATCTTAAAAAAAGAGAGAGAGAGAACCAAATTCTACCCTTGTATCAATGTATCATTAATATTATTAATATCATTAATATTATTATATTATTATTAATATATTATTATAATATATTAATATCATTAATGTCATTAATATTAAGTCGAATTTTAATAAAACCTCATATAAAAACCATTCAATCTCAATCAGTTTTGACCATACAAGATAAGATTTCCATCAGCATGTTATACTCTCTTATAATTGTTCCCATCCTCTTTCTCCTAACTTTCTATATGTAATTTTATCTATCATTCTTTTTATTCCTTCAATTTGAGACAACCTTTAAATAACCTCTAACTAGGCAGAATTAATTTTTATTTAACAAGAACTCCATTCTCATGTCTTTTTTGTAACATTTTTCTTCCAGAATACATCCTATGTTTCTTGTTTACTTTACTTATAGAATAGTTTCTCTTATTAAGGTATTTTTAATTAACATACTAGTTACAGTGTTAACTCTTCATAACTCTAATTTTCAGTGAAAGCTTCTGAAGTAAGCAATTTTAATTGTTATGTACCAGATGCAGAACCTAGAACAGAGACAAATCTGGTGGTTCCAACCCCTCTCAGCATAATCAGGAACACAAATGGACCATGAAGGACATATTAATCTTTACCCGGCCCAGTAGCTGGTAATCCAGGCACTATGGACACACGTATGTCCCCAGGCCTTATCATGACCACTTATCTAGACCCCAGCATTGAAAGGGTCAAAACCTAAGACATCAAGCAAACACAAAAGATAGCACAGAAGCAATAGTTTATGACTTTATTTTTTTATTTTTTTATTTTTATTTTTTGAGACAGAGTTTCATTTTCTCACCCTTG